CATGATTTAATGTTGGGGGAAAAGGTTGTCCCTTGCCCACTGTACCCTATCCTAATTTTATAGGTTCATTGCAACATACCCCATTTTTCAACTTGAACGAAGTGGACTATATCATATACACATATATACATGTACATACACACACCCTGGTAGATGTTTTCTTTCGCGCTGACACTTAAGCATTATTATATAGTAGTGAAAAACTACAAAAGAATCTTAACATCTTTTCATTCATAGGGCGAGGTTGAAAAGATTTTTGATAAACTCAAGAAGTGTCTCGATGACAAGCAGGTACTCAAGGACCACGTCTACCGATATTTTGCCATAAGCAACTTGGCTGAAGACGATGAGGAGTTTGCTGAAATAAAAAGAGCGATCGAAGATTTGTGTGGTTATAGCAGCGACAGTGAGGCTACCGTTCAACATCTTCCAGTGAGTTGGATTAAACTGGAAATGAATTTGGCAAAGAAGAGTGAAGAAACACCCATCATAACTATTGAAAAATTGATGGAAATGGCGCAAAGGGTAGGACTCCCTGATGGAGAATTACAAGAAAAATTCATTCCTTACCATCACCGTCAAGGCGACATCCTACACTTTAAAATTGACGGACTGGAAAATGTCGTCATAATAGATCCACTTTGGTTAGCAGTTGTGTTTTCTGCCATCATGACCCCGGCCAGCATTCACTCTGGATGCAGTCGCGGCCATTTCCTGAAAGATGAGCTTGAAAGAGGAGTCCTAAAAGAGGAGGTATTTGATGAGTATCTAAAAGAATTCAAGATGGCCGAAAAAAAGACTGAAATCATTCGACTTATGCTGCATTTCGACTTGATGTTAGAAATATCCCAATCAGTTGAAAACCCTCTGCCTGGACATGGAAAAAGAAGATTCGTCGTACCCAGTATGCTAGTATCAAATAACAGTGCGAATGAGACAAATCCGCAGAAATATTTGCTTATCGCATTCCCTCATATTCTGTTTCCTGCTGGGTTGTTTCATCGTCTTACCGTCCGTCTTCTAAGGAAGTATAAAGCTCAGCAATATAAAAATAACATCCCAGTTGTCGGTTTTGACAGCGCCTCCTTCCGCCTGGCTGATAAAAAGTCGGTGCTGCATCTCGCCATTGAAAATAAGGCCATGAAGTTGTTTATAACTAACGCCACTGGACTCCCTCCAAAGACTCATGTGTACTCAGAAGCAACAAAAACAGTTGAAAACGAGTTGACAGTCCTTCGGGATACATACTGCCCCAGGATGCATTTTGGCTACAGCATCAGGTTAAAAAATGACGGACCCAATATTCCAATAAATGCGCATGACGTCCAAACGGGCGATTCCATATGTGTGTATGTAGAGAACTCTGACGTGTTGGTAGATTTGAGGCCATATCGCGTTTGGTTTTCCGGTAAGCAGTTTGAAATATCACGTAGTGTTGTTGTGAATAGACATTAGGCCCAATGCTATTTTAAAATAGAACATGCATTCCGTGTTAATTGGTTCACAGATCTTAACATTTTAAAAGATCCCTGATTACACATCATGTAATATCTGAAACCAGATACCATAAGAAAATTTAGGTTTGATTAGTTTTAATGTTCAAAATAATTTATCTGGAAAAAAGTATTAAGGATATTTCTGTTTTGTACATATATTTTTGAAAATATTGATTTTTTACACAAATACTAATGACATACAATGTTAGTTATTTTTATGAATACTCAATTGTATATGCAATAGACTAAAAAATGCTCAATTAGAAATTAATGGGGAAATTTATATTAATCTACCCTTCTTAAATGAACTAGGTACTTGTTTGTAACATTTTTATTAGAAACAAAAGGCAAGATATTGTATTCAGATTTTACTCAAACATATTATGAATTAGCAACCTGTGATAACAAGTCATTAGAAACATGTCAGTGAGAAATAAAACCAAAATTAACAATCATTTCGGAATGACACTTGGATTTTGAAAGGAAAAGTACGGCGTATGATAGGACATAAAGTATTTTGATGGGGCCCTAGAGGCCAAGTGCCAATATATAATATATATTAGGCCAATCTTACCATTTTAGCAGCCCCAGAGAATCAAGACCGTCGTGCAGCCAAGTGTCCTGAAAACGAGGCAAGTTATGAGCTTTTAAATACGTTTGTGTCTTAGTACTGCGCAGCAAACACAGAACGTTATTATAACGTTACCATATCATATGTCCAAAAACATTTTGGTAACATTATAGGAACGTTCTGTGTTTGCTGACCGTTATCCTCACTTGCACAAGTTTTAGTAAGACCATGAAATTAAATGTACTTGTATATACACAATCATAAGAAAAATTGGATACACTTAGGCATAAATGCGCACTTTTCACTCTGTTACACTTGCTATACGACCTCCAATATTTCTAATGATAAATTTCACATAAAGACAGTGTATGTGTGCGTTTCAGTACAAGAACAATTCCGAACCGAGAGGTCGTGCACTCATTATCAACAACAAGACATTTTCCGTGGACTGGCTTCCAGAACGTGATGGTACCGAGGTAGATGTTGTTGCCTTGAGGAAACTATTCCGTTACCTCCATTATGAGACAGACGTTATCAGTAACCTGACTGCAAATGTAAGTTCATTAATAAGATCATGGTGAGTTTGTAATAAAACGAACATCGTAAAAGCCAAATGGCTTTTAGGTTTCAAAGACCATACTTTTTGGTGATATCTAAATATATTTATCAGTGACACAAAGATGATACAATTGATACTTGAACCTTTTGGTTCAAAACAGGTGTTGTCAAACAAGCTTTTCGGTCACATTTTATTATGTTTATCTATTTCACTGCAATATATTTTTCTAATAAAATGAAGCTTTTCACTCGTTTCTGTTCATTGCATGTATTTGTATTTATATGAGAGATGTATGGTACACTATATAGTTATACAACATTGGTCAAAAAGGTTGTCCCACCCCTATTTCCATGTACTTTAATTTACAAATGGTCACCTTACAGCTGTAAATTGTTAGAAATAGTGCTTGGGCAACAATTCTGTTATGTGGGATATTGTCCCGTTCCGCCTAAAGAGCGTGGCGGAATTGGTCAAGGTTATTTAGGAATTGGTTCTCCTCTGCAATGCATATTTCAATTTATGCCACAGGTGCTCAGTAGGATTAATATCCGGACTCAAAGACGGTTGTCCCATTCTCAGAGCCCTGTGTTTCTGCAACAAATCGTTTGCCAGACGAGAGCTGTGAGCAAGTGCGTTGTCATAATGGGGCCAGTAGCATCCCTGAAGTTACCTCTTGCAAATAGAGTGAGATTTCTGTTGAGAATGTTACATTAAAATGTCCCTGTTACGTTTTGTTCCAAAAGGAACAATGTACTAATAACATGGGCTTGGAATGTTCTCCAAATGTGGATTGATCTGACACCTCAGGCGATATTACCCTACACACACCCTTCCGAGAGACATTTAATAACATGTCTATGGATATGGGCGGCCAAAAGGGCAAAAATTCATGTTGTCGATTCAGTTATGTTTCGTCGATTCACTGCCTTCCCATCGATTCAGTTTCAAGTTTAAACGANATGAGAAATGTTTGACAATTGAATTGACGAAAGTAGATGTTGAATTTATGACAGGATCGCTTAAACTTGAAACTGAATCGATGGGAAGGCAGTGAATCGACGAAACATAACTGAATCGACGACATGAATTTTTGCCCTTTTGGCCGCCCATACATGGACCCTTTTTGACCATCGATGGGATACAAGAAATAATTTAATTCTGCATCAAAATCGACTTCCTACCAGTGATGGATGACCAGGTTCAGGTGCCTGTGGGATCACTGAACGTAGCATTCTCAGCTGATATCTCATTCCATCTTCAAGAACTGACTTTAGGGTTAACTTCAGGCTTTATCATGACTGCACACTTGCTCACACCCCTCGCCTGGCAAGTGTTTGTTGAAGAAACACAATGGTCTAAGGATGGAACCACCATCTTTGAGCCCTGATATTAAACTTTCTAATCAACTGTGACATGAATTGGAGTGTGCAATGCAGAGGAGAACTAACCCCATAAAATCCCCCATCTTGTTTAAGAAGAATCGGACAATATCCCACAAAGCAGAATTGTAACCCGTGTTGAAGGCTTGTCGCGCCGTCTACAGGAGATAATTGCAGTACGCGGTAGACGCACACGTTGTTAGGCACGTGACCTTTAACGAGCATACCCTAATGCTAATTGTGTGTGAATTTGGTGACATTTGATGGCGTCTTTTCAATTTTATAGACATTTATTTACATCTGTAGAAGTCACAGTGAAACAGTCGATTTAAGGGGTACCTCTTATAAATTTTACTAAATGGTATAAAATATGTATTTTCACCACTATTTTGTATTTTTAAAACCGGTATCCATAATAAAAAGCACTATTTCTAACAGTTCACAGCTGTGAGGTGATCATTTGTAAATAAAAGTACATGGAAATGGGCGTGGGACAACCTTTTTGACCAAAGTTGTATACAGACGGACATGGCGTACAATCTACAAATATACCACCATATGTCCGTCGTCGGTGGCTACTGCCTTTCACATTCTCTGTTAGCGTCAAGTATGAATTGATGCTGCCATTTTGCTTTACGTTGTCGTTGATAACCCAATTCCGTACGTACTACATCTCTGCAGTCATTGCATGCTATTTCGTTTGAGTAACATGGTTCTTATGTCACTTCTTCTTTTATTTTAATGTGTAAAGGAAATGAAGAAAGAAATAGAACAAGAAAGTCAAAGAGACAATCACAAGATCTACGATTCTTTCATCTTGTTTCTACTGAGCCATGGTACCGAGGGTGCTGTTTATGGAACGGATGGCTATCCTTTACCCTTCAAATATATCAAAGCCATTTTGAATAACAGGAAATGTCTTGGCCTGTCTGGCAAACCGAAAATGATATTTATTCAGGCTTGCCAGGGAAGTAAGTTATGGAATGTATTACACAAGCTTGAATACCTGCGATGAAAATAACATGCAAAATTATTAAACCAATGTATTGAGATATTAAACTGTATTAACAGTTTGTCTCCTTTAAATTATATTCAGCCACACGAAACGAATGACGCTTAGTATTATGTAATTGTTTAATTAGTTAATACTGATATCAATTCTAACTTATATGTAAACATGTAATCCACATAAGGGTGTATGTGGTATTTCATTTTTTTCCATATTCACCCAGATAAATTGGACAGTGGGACACTGCTGGACGGACAAACAGTTCAACAACCACAGCAAGCACCACCTGCAGCAAACCTTGGCGATGAGGTACCCGATGCGCCACACGAGATTCCAAAGCCATCCAATGATCCGACTATGTCCGATTTTCTCGAGGTCCATGCGACGTCACCAGGTACTTTAACCGTGTTTCTTTGTATGCCATTTTACTTAGGCCTTACAAATGTGTTTTTCGTCAGAAAAAAAATCAAAATGATAAGGTGCACGTGGTGATGCTTGGATTATGGCATTTTGCCTCAGGTAGAAGATGGTGTGCATTTTGTGGTCTTTCGGCATATTGTGGAGAACTGTATTGTACGTGTATACTTTAAAATGTGCACTACATTACTGCACCAGTAAATACTGAAAATGGTGCATGTATTTTTATACAGTATCAAATAAAATATATGTGCCAAATTTAATTAAAATTTATGTACATTTTTACCATAATGCTTTTAAAAATACATTCACAATCACTACGAAAAACGAAAGTGTGTCGAGACGTTACCTTATTGTATTTGGGAAGCTGTCAGACGATTTCTTTCGATAAAAAAGACTTTGTAGCTTATGCAAATGTTGAGAAAAAAACATGCCGATTAAGGAAAATTCATATATTAAAATTTAAACTATGTATTTCGACAGATTTTAATTTAATTTAATTTAAAAATGGCGATCGTGTATTTCTGACATTGAATTCTCAGGGTGCACAAAGTGTCAGGTCGGTTCACTGTAACACTATCGGCAAATAAACTTTACTAATAGTTCCTCGATCTACGCGATTTATGAAATTTGCTTTTCCGCACTCTCAATGACACTAAGTACTGTTATATTAACAAAATAAAAATAAACAGTACTGTTGGATCTACGAGTAAATAATACGTTAAGGCTTCAGTATTTTCTGTTTCAGATTACGTATCTTGGCGACACCCGGGAAAGGGAACATGGTTTGTTCAATCCATTGTCGATACATTTTATCGTGAAGCACACAAATATGACGTTTTACAAATGTTGGTGAATGTAAGTACTGAAATAACCTGAACTACATTATTTTACATTGAAAGTGTGTTAAATTCAAAAGAACACCAATCAAATATAAAACATAGCTGCCAGAAGAAGTGACATGTCGTAAGAGGTGACTTATGTAAATACAATCCAACATGCACAGACTTTTTAAGAACCAATGAAATGCTTTTCTGTATATTTTGACTGTTTAATCAGAACTGTTCACTTCATGTAATATTTTATTTCACCAGGTCAATCACGCGATCTCTCAAAAGCAAACAACAATGGGCAATAAACAGGCACCAGAGATAGTTACCAGCTTACGCAAGAAAGTTTTCTTCAACATAACTCCAGGTAAGCAAAAAGAATCACATCTTCCCGAGGTGTATTCGGCCGAATAATAAAGACTCGAAATCAAAAGTAAGCAAAAACAACGAACCTGGAATGTGTTAAAGGACAATGTTCATGTAAAAATCCATTTCTCAAATTTTGAAGATTCAGCACTCAATCTATACACTAGAGGTATGTTTTAATCGATCCCCGCCATTTAAAAATTATAAAAACAATCTATTAGTAGAAAAAAAGCGTTTTAGTAAACCTCACCTCAATATGCATAAACGAAGCAACAGATCTAGGTCACGTGGTACTGTGACGACAATCACGATAAAGGTCTATGAGACTCAACTGAGCTGCATGGTGCAAACAGACAGAATGATTTTGGAAAGTTATGTTGAACGGAGTTGAACAATTTTCTTTATGCCTCAGTGTGTTGCCGTGGGATTCACCAAAATTGCAGCACTCCTTGACTATCTTTCTTTATCTGTGACGGTCTTCCGTGACTAACTTCGGTGACAATAGTTGCGATCCTCGCGATCTCGGTCACCTCAGGTGTTTTAGATCGTATCAAAAGCTGATAGTCTTTTAGATACTGTCATCGGTTGGCAAGCTTACTAATTGCTGATGCATTTTAAAATTCATTGTAGTTGACCAAGAGCTCGTTAACAATAAAACCTGTTAATTATGCACCGCTGCCATTCCCAAGCCAGGTAATAACAGGTATGAAACTCGTCTTAGTGGGCTTTCATATTTTTCAATATATCTCATTTATTTCATGGGGTTATTTTATTGGTATTTGTAAATGACGTTAAATATCAATAGCCTACTTAAACAATTAAGTTCAAACACGGTCGCGAACATTAATAAAAGAAATTGCTCTCAGGGTATCTTGAAGCTTCCGTGGAAGAAAACGTGTTGAGGAAAAACGGGAGAAAGAGCGTTATATTAAAGAAAAAATGGGAACTGCTGTAATAAAGTGGTTCGTTATCCTAATTCTTTTATGCATTGAGGATTTGTTTCTGAAGATTATTTCATCTGAAATATTAAATAATTTAAAAGGTTGATCATTTTATAACTTGAAATGCAAATTCTGCGTCAGTACGCAATTTTTTTTTTTGCAAATTTGTAAGCTTAGAGCACCGTGCTATAAAGATCTACTCAAGAAAAAAATTTGCTTGGGTAAAATTGAGTACGGAATGAACTGGAGACACTTGGCTTGTCATTAAGTTTACACGAAACTAAGATCTAATAAACGGATATTAGGTCTTAGCACGAAAATATGTCAGGTAACTTTATACTGTCTTTGAAAGAGTAAAGATTGAAAGATAATTTTAGACAAACTTTGACGGAGGAAATACCTACAAAGAGTAATGGGCTATTTCGCCAACATCTTGTTGAAAATTTTACAGTAACACTGCAATTCTATTTAATTAAGCTAAGGAACTAATTGCCAAATTTATACTCTCATCACATAACAGGGGGTAACTAGACCTGCAAAAATTGTACGCACATATTTTAAAAAATTACAAGCACATACAGCACAATGTAGACTTCCGCAAAACATGAAGGACAGCGTAATCACAGCAAATGTACCTCATATAGTAGCTTAATTTCCATTAATAATAAAATCATCATTTAAGTCAAAAATATTCTCGCGATTTAATAACTATTCTTATTTACCCAGAGCGGTATATTTATTTTAAAGGCGGTAAACTGAAATATAGTTTTATGATTTGTTTGTGAAAATTGCCCATGTCACCCTGTTAGTTTGGAGGTCTAAGCTGGATCAAGTCCGTGTTAAAATTCCTATGAAGTTGTGCAGGAAAAATTCTTCCTTTCTTTCTCTAGCTCCTCGATAAACCTGGTGTTCAGATTTTATCTAGTACCCCCAGGTCTACGGGAGCTGCTCTTTGTAACTAACGCACAGGTAGATTTTTACCTGAGATAACTGGAGTAAAGCTTAGATAGAGAGTGCGTTCGGTACAAGCAAGACAAATTTAATGCCTTTTAACCCTCTAATTAAGAGGTAAAGGAAGTTCCAGTTAGATGGATGATTAAGATAGGACTTGTAAAGGTAACGGGCATTGTTTACATCAGTTTAATAAAAGTATGCAAGACGGAGTGTCAGCGGTTTAATAAAATAAATTGAATTTCACAAATAACATGGACCTCATATGCAATAATCAACATTTCCCTTAACTCATTCAAATGCAGTGTTTTATACAACTTGAGATAACCATGATTAAATGCTTGTTAAAGAATTGACTAGACAGGAAATGGTTTTACACAGCTTCAGGAGGATTTAGACCCCTCGGGTAAGAGATTTGAATGAGTATAAACTTTTATCAGAAGCCAGCGAAGTCATCTTACAGGTAGACAATGCAGCTCAGTTTGACAGCTAAGCACGCTCTGTTCTCCAGTGGCCCGATTGTCTTCATCAGACCACGTGACAACGTAGCTCATTAACTCTCAGGCCGAGCAAATAGGACATTTTATAAAGCCAAAAATTTACAAAATGAGCCTTTAACTTGTGTATTTGGATAAAGATATCGTTAGTTGGGCATGTTTTCTGAAGAATATGTTCCGTTCAGGCCATTCTGACGGCATGAAGCAAATCCTTTAAGGTACAAACAATGCTGCCAGTCCTGCTGAAGATCTCATCCTTTTATCAAATGTCTCAAATCTGCCACCCAGTTGCAGACCCCACCTACAAAATTGTTTCCCAACTTCAATAAATTATTCCCAACTAAAGCTGGAACTATTCATTCATTATCTTTTTGGCATATTCATTGTGGGACTCGGAGCTCCCATGGGCATGAAGCCGTATGGTAATCAAATTTTCTACATGTCCCTGCTATTTATAGTCAATAATCAAAAATTGGTGATAATTATTCTATAATGTATTATGTAATGTTACATCAAAATTGACAATAATCTTTTTGCACTGCTACTGCAAACATTATGAAATGAAAACTGTGTTTATTATTATATTTAACTTATAAGTATGATTTTTAGGATTGGCATGCAGTTCAAATTAGAAAGCCAGGTAAATTGGGTTATCATTGTACCACCAGCGTTAGCGCTGGCGGTACACATGGTTTCGGTCCTGTCCGGTCCGTTCCGCCGGCTCCGCCGCCATGTTACCGTTACCGCTTCTCCTCCTAGACGGTAAGGGCCCCCGTACCCATCTCATGGATTTAGGTCACCTATAATCTCAACTCGTTCCACGTAAAATTTGGGCTTTGTCGGTATTGGGGTCTGGGTGTGGCACTCATTGCAATGCACCCTTGTCTAAAAATGGCAAAATTAAATGCTAATTATCTACCCTAC